ATCGGCAAGACAACGATGATCAGGTCACTGCCGGGCAAAACCGGGTACATCCAGCATCTCATCTACCACGTGATGCAGCCTGCCAACGAGCCAGACCGCGCCGAGGAGCGTACACCAGGGATCAAGGTGTGCGATATGGTCATCAGGGACAGGGGCAGCGGTGAAGCTGATGAGGTGGCATCCCTTCGCGTGTATGATTTTGGCGGGCAGCTGGCCTATCACGTGATCCACACGCTGATGATGTCGGACAGGCTTGCCGCCTTTGTTGTCTGCGTGGACCTCTCGCAACGCGAGCAGCACGTGAAGGAGCGCGCCAACTACTGGCTGCAGTTCATCTGCACGCGCCTGCAACAAGGGATGGCTGCCGCTGCCAACTCCATTGGCGCAGCCCCAATGACGGAGGTGAAGCCACGCGTGATCATTGTTGGCACGAAGAAGGACCTCGCGTACAAGAACAATCTGGTGGACGCCGACGGGCATCCCACGTGGGGTAAAGCCATGATGGCAGACCTACAGGACACGTTTGGCCATATCATCGACATCCACAGCACCCTCATTCGCTTCACGTGCTTCCTCGACAAGGGGCGAAACTTCAACGCCCTCCGCCTTGAGCTTGTGCGTCACTGGCGCTGGCTGAAGGACCGTCAGCTTGAGGTGCCAAAAGTGGTGTCAGAGGTCGCCGCCATTCTGAAGACCGCACAACTGGAGTGCCCCCTGTGGAAAGTGGGTGACCTGCTCGAGCGCGTCCACAAGAGCAGCGAACACGAGTTTGCCGTCACCGCCGCCCTTCCCGAAAACATCTTTCATCTCACGTTGCGGTACGTGTTCCACGCATCCCTGCCCGCACGCAGTCGTGTTACGCATCATGTTGTTGTTGTTGTTTCAACAACGTTGCATCTTCTTGCCCCCCCCCCAACTTGTCTATGCTTTCGACACCGTACATCATCGTGCGACTTCCCCCTCCTATTGACTACTGACTCACGCAAACATGTTGCTTTTGTATGCACGCATGCAGGTATCTGCATGCACGTGGCGATCTGCTGTGGTACTACAAACTCCCGTCGCTCGCTGACGTGGTCTTCCTTTCACCCAACTGGCTCTTGCATGACGTCATGGGCAAGGCATTGCAGCCCAAAGGCGTGGCGTGTGGGGGCCTTCGGCCCAAAAGGGGCGTGGTCAGCTTCAGCGACATTTCAGCAGCGTTCGAAGGCATCGCAAGTCCCGAATTGGTCATCAGCATCCTCCAGCACGCACTCCTGTGCTTCGAGCTGCCGCAGAATGAGCGGGGCCGGCGCCGCTTCATGCTTCCGAGCCGCGTGGAAGAGGATGTCGATGTGGACAAGGAGTGGCGACAGCACGAAGATGACGATGACCATGACAACTGGGCCGTGTACGGAGGGCGCCGCCTGAAAGTGACCGACGACGCACTTGCACTCCCACCTGGGTTCTTCCCACACGTGCAGACCCGATTGCATAGCAAGTTTCGCACGCCCCCAGACATTTGGAGGAATGCGTTTCGGTGCGAGTGGAGAGGCGTACAGTGCTTTGGCCTCCAGCGTGGTGATCGGGAGGTGGACGTATGGGTACGCGCACGTGAAGGGGCAACAACACACGCGCTTCCATGTTTGACAAAGGTAAGTTTGTTTGTTTGTTTGTGTGTGTGTGTGTGTGTGTGTGTGTGTGTGCATGTGTGTGCATGTGTGTGCATGTGTACATGTGTGTGTGTGTGCATGTGTGCATGTGTGTGTGCTTGTGTGTGGTGCACTTATGTCTGAGCCGTGCCTGTTTATGATGCACGTCTGCCCGAACCCAAATTTTGCTCTGCCAAGCTGTGCCCCTTTAATGCACCTCTCCCCCGCTGTCTTCCAGCCCGGCTGCCTTCCAAACCCTTCCCCTCCCCCACCCCTCTTTACTTCCCTCCTCTTCGCTTCTTCTTTCACAGACAGTCCCTCTCTGCCAGTGCTCACTTCATTTCCGCTCTCTCCGTCCCCATCACCGAATGACAGGTGTTCTCACTGCTGCAGGAGGAGGCCCGTGGCATTGACAGCCATCACATTGTCCTGAGCCCAAAGCAGCTGAGGCAGCACGTGCCAAAGCCCATCGGCTATGCATTCGACGCCATACACAATCAACCGCCAAACGAATTTGTCGAGTCCTCGTACCACGACCCAGGACAGTCGGCACTGTCTGAGCGCGTGTACGACCTGCTGATGCTGCCACCCGAGCGACCCGACTCCGCCATGCCCACGTGGCAGTGCCCCGGGTATGAATGGCACCATCCAAGTTGGCGGCTCGACGACACGCTGGATGAGCAGCTCCGCTGGTCTGGCCCGAACGCCCACCGCACGTACACGGCACCCTTGCCACCTAATACCCAACTGTACGAGTGGGTTGAAAAGCAAATGGCACCAGGAATGTCGCTGTCTCGTGTTGAGGTGACAAAGTCAGCGACCATGCTGCAATTATTCAACGGGCGCCTGGCGCAATGTGCGAGCCGGCGCGCATCCCCGAACAGCCCACACTTCAACCGCACCTTTGACTATGACCGGGACAAGAAACGCATGGTCGAGCAGCTCAAAGCTCAGTTTGCGCAGACTGGTGAAGACGTGGAGCATGTCAACGTCCTCATTGCATGGCACGGGTGCTCTGTGTCCAACATTGACGCCATGGCCAGCGAGGGGCTTGCCAACCTCAGCAAACCTGCTGACCGCGGCTTCTATGGAGCCGGCATCTACGTGACCCCGCAGGCTGGCTACGCGGCTGGCTACTCAACCCGGCTGCTGCCTGGCACCTGGGAGGCGCCAAATTCGCGCGGAGAGCACGTGCTTTTGCTGTGTGCTGTCAGCATTGGCCTGGCGCAACCAATCACCAGGCAGGCGGATTACAACGAAGCCAGCAGGTGTAAATGGTTTGGCGAGCCAATCAAGGATGGATTTGATGCGCGGTATGTGCAGGTGTTGAGTTCCGACAACTTCCAAGCCACACCAACACCGGGCACGTACAATTTCGAGGAAATTGTCGTGTCGCAGGAGGCCCAGGTTCTGCCCATCGCCAAGGTCTTCGTTAAGGTGAACAGGGACGAGCTTCGCGATTACCTCGCATCACCACCCCCCGCGCCAGCGCCAGCGCCTTGAATCGTCCAGCAGAATCCGGGTTTGTGTGTGTGTGTCTGTGTGTGTCTGTGTGTGTCTGTGTGTGTGTGTGTGTCTGTGTCTGTGTGTGTATGTGTGTGTGTGTCTGTGTG